ACTTAGCTGAGAAGTGGACATTGCACTGGTTAACGCAGGGTTCACTGCTGACCATGAAATGGAGCTAACCGAGGCTGAAGAGAAGATTGGAGGAAGCATCCAGTGCCCACAGAGAAAGAACAGAGGTCCAATTATCTTTGCAAATAAAGGATCAGAGGAATAAAAAGATCTTGAGTAAAAATCTTGCAAAAAATATCTTACCACAAAAGTCTATGAGACATAAATTTTAAAGTATTGTTTTCTCTATAGTAACATTGAAAAATATAATTTTACAGGTGAATAGAGATATGCCTAGAGCATTACCTTAGAATGATTTGAACATCTTTGGGGCTGAATATGCCCGTTATTTGTTACCTGTTTCTTAGTGTGTTGCAAAGGGCTTTGCCAGTTTCTCTATAGTGTACTTGATAGGACTCCTCCACCCACTGTTTCCAATATAATCATTTTAAACTTCTTAAAATCTTATTTGTTTTAATTAGTTATACATGGCAATAGAATGAATTTATGCACTTTGATATATCATATATAAATGGGGTATAATTTCTAAGTTTTTTAATTGTTCACGTTGGAGAATCACATAGGTCATGCAGATTCTGTTTGCTTATTATTTACAAAAATCCTGAGTAAGATCTTGCAAAAATTATCTTACCACAAAAGTTCATGGGGCACAGATTTAAGGTACTGTTTTCTCTATAATAACATTGAAAAATATAATTTGCAGGCAATTAGAGATATGCCTATAGCTTTACTGTGGAATGATTTGAAACCTGTGAGGCTGAAGATCCCTGTGGTGTGTTAGCTATTTCCTGTGTGCTGCAAAGGGTTGTGTCGATTTCTCTGTGATGTACTTGATAGGAGTCCTCCCTGCACTGTTTTCCAATACAGACTTTTAAAGAGATTATTGGAATTTTTTTCTTCCACAGCCTGCCTATTTTCATGTAGGTAGAGATATTTTGATTGGGACTATGTGAAAATTTGTGAGTTTTGTACTTTCTAGCCTATCAATTGATTGTATCTGCTTGCTCATTGTGTTGTTCTCAAGCTGTGGGTGATTAAGATTTTTATTTTTCAGTCCTCCTTTTAAATAAAAAAAGGTATTGGAGGTTCTCCTGCACCCCTAGTGCTACATCACCTGAGATATACATTTCCAACTTGTTTTCACATCTCTGTGTTAATTACTGTGTCTTTT